AAGGCAGACGCTTAACGACTGAGCCACCCAGGCGCTCCAGAAATCTTCTATTTTTTATCAAACTTATACCGATGGGGTAGGACGTGGAGATTCCATAGGCATTTCTCGAGTGCCTGCTGCGTTCCAGGCCCTGAGGAGGAGTCGACGGTCACAGTGGACACACAACCCTACTACGCTCATGCAGCTTCTATTCTAGGGTCGGGTTCCCTGGTGGTGAAAACCCAGAGAAGGGAGAGGGCTTGATGAAGAGGACACTCACCTTGACTCCTGCGTCCTGGGGCAGGGGCCCCGCGTTGCTATCGAGGATGAAAACTTCTTCGGGGATACGGGTGGCTGGGAGGGTGGTGTTGGGGGACTCTCTCCCCTTCCGGGCCCCAGGGAGGAGTCCTTGAGCGGCTGGTCATAGCTCCAGGCTGTGGGCTGCTGGTCAGGGGACAGGGACTGCTTCATGTGCCCAAAGGGCACCACCCCTATGTAGTTGGGGTTGATGATTTCAGTGATGCTGGAGCTGCCACATGGAAGGACCCTGCAGGGGAGAGGCACCCTAAGTCACACCCCAAGGCTCCCTTCCCTCTTCCAGGTCAGCACCACACGAGGACAGTGTCCTTTGAGGTCCCCTGGGGCCCCGCAGGCCCTCTGCTACTCCTTCACTTTTTGGCCAGTGGATTGATTGACTGATTGATTGATTGATACAACAAAATAGCTACTGGGTGCCTAGTAAGCCCCAGGCCTTGGGCCAGAAGGGAATGTGGGCGTGAACAAGGTGGCCCCGTCTCTGTTCTCATAGGACCCACATCAGACAGGAGAGAAAACAAAGCAAGCACGGTGACTAGGAAACATGGTGCTCACACAGTGCTGAAGTCTGAAAGTAACCAAGGAGGCAGAGACAGACCAGCAGGAGGGCTGGGACCCATGGGGCACAGGGTGGCCAGAGAAGGCCTACCTGAGGAGGCAGATAAGGAAGGGAAGGGAGATGGGTGAGAATGGGCAAAGGCCCTGTTAGGAGGGGCTTGACCTGCTTCAGGAGAGTCTGAAGGCCTACGAGCAAGCGGGGAGAATGGATAAGAGGCTGGTGAGGCCAGGCTGAATGAGGAATGAAGGGCTCCATCTGGGATATGTCGGCTTGCACGTCTGTGTGAGGCATCAAACTGGAGACGGCCATGCAGGCACTTGGAAAGGTGAGTGGGAGGTCACAGAAGTCAAGGCTAGACCCTTGAATGTTGGGGGGCAGTTAACCCAACACTGTGGAGGGGATGGCCTGGCCCTGGCTGAGGTGGCAGGAGTTGGGTGCGAGGGGTGGGGCAGGCGTGAGGGCGAAGGCTGGCCAGACAGGTCGTCTGAGGACCCAGAGGAGGGGAGGAAGCTGGGCTCTACAGCAGCATTTGGGATTTCACTTCGGTGAACCGGCACCACTCTGCCCCCTCAGCAGGCAAGCTGGCATGGAGACCGTGACCCCGCCACCTGGCTTGATTCTAGGACTTGGGATCACATCAGTGAGCCAAGGTGACTATTGGGGACTGCTGCCCCCTAGTCATAGAGACTTTAATGTCTGCATTATTCCCACTCCAGGCTCTGCCAAGAGTGGCCTGTGTGCATTTTCCTCAATGATTTTTTTCCCCCTTTAGTAACAGGATGGGGCTCCTTGACCACCAAGCCATGCCTGCTGCTGTCCCTGGTCCCCAGGAGACACGGGAGCCATTCCCTCCCTGCAGCAGCTTCCCCCTGGACCGTGTCTTTCTGCTAGGCTGAGAGTTCCTAAGTCAGGGGCTGCACCAACTTTGCCTTGGTTTCTCTAGAATCTGACACACACCAAGTGCTCAGCCAATGTCAGTGAATTGAACTTTTTTTTTTTTTAAGAGAGAGTGAGACAGGGGAGAGGCAGAGGGAGAGAGAGAATCGTAAGCAGGCTCCACACCTAGCACAGAGCCCAACACAGGGCTCAATATCCTGACCCTGAGATCACGACGTGAGCTGAAATCAAGAGTCAGACGCTCAACCGACTGAGCCACGCAGGTGCCCCTTGAGCTGCTTTCTGACACGCAGGCGCCCCCCCAGGCCTTGCACGGGCACACCCGCCTCCCCGGAGTGAGTGGGCAGCAGGACAGCGCCGGTCTTGGCGCTGAGCTTCTGTTTCCTCCCTGTCCTTGGTTTCTCTGTGCTCCACTCACCCTCTCCTGGGTCCTGGGTCTGCAAAACCACGCTAGTTTGTAGGGAAACCCTGGCAGCACCCCCTGCTCTACCTGTTGGCAGGTTCCCACTGCTTCATGGGGTCGTGGCTGGTGAGGCTCTTCAGGGACTTGGGCCCACTGGACTCATCTCGCTCAGTCTTCACAAAGTCTGCAAGGCAAGAGCCAGGGAAGAGCACGTGAGGCCTGGTGCCCAGTCTGGGCAAGATGGCAGCCGAAGCTGGACAGTGACTAATGGCTGGCTGGGCGGTGGGCTAAGCAAGATTCTGATGCCTCACGCACGTTCAGTGATTGACTTGTTATGTCTGCCATGGTTGCAGAGGGAGGAAGAGTTGGCATGTGCGACCCAGGGTTATCATTTCATGGGACATTTTCAGCTTGTTGGTGTCACAAGGGACAGGCAAATATTTCTTGGCAGATCCAAATAAAACCAATAGAACAAGGTGGCTCCATAAGAGCATTGGATACCAAAGCCCACCTAGTTTAAAGGGAGGGGGAAGAATCTTGAGCAGACTCCTCGCAGAGCACGAAGCCTAACACAGGGCTTGATCCCACGACAACCCTGAGATCGTGACCTGAGCTGAAACCGAGAGTCAGACGCTTAACCAGCTGCGCCACCCAGGCGGCCCTCAAGCAGAGAGGCTTTAATGTCATGGATACTATTGAAGACGACACGTTCATTTCCAAGTTTTAAAATTTTAGACAGGATTCTAAGAAAATTAGAGTCTAGACACCTCCTCGTGTTCCCTATTAGCATGGTCTCTGGGCAGTGTTTTAGTATTTCCCAGAGGGGCAGTGACGGGTCTTATCTAAGAGATAAGACGTCTACAGTTGCCTACTGGGAATCAGCAGGGTCTCCTTTGGGGGCAGACAGGAGATGACTCCCCAAGGCTGGGATTGCACAGGGGTAAGGAAACACCTCCAATGAGTGTTTGTTCCCAAGCATGGCTACGCTGGTGTCATTCCTGGGAGCCACGACAGATGCCTCCTCCCAATAGCCAGCAGAAGGAAGCAGGTGTTGTTTTTCAGGACACAAAGGTCTGAGGTCAAGCCGGAAGAGGTACTGGGGGACCCTGCCAGGGAAGAGAAGACCCCAAAATGCTGCCATTTTGGACGGCAGCGAAAAGCCAAAGGGATGTGCCAAGAACGAGGACGGGGGCTTATTGGTGTGTACGGTGTGTGAAACAGCCTAGAAGGCCCAGAAGCCCTGGGAGGCACCATGAGCCATGAGGGCAGGGTGTGGACACGTGTGTGTGTGTGTGAGCGTGTGAGCTGCACACCACGTGGCCACAAGGAAGAACGGGTCACGCGGGAAATTCGGGAACTTCTAAATCTCGGCTGCAGTCAGTACCTTCACCTGTAGCCTAGAACGAGCTGTTCAGGATTAGGCAGGTTTCTTGTGTCATCTTGGTCCTTCTAGTGGAGGCGCTAGCAGGGAGTGACAAGGCCTAAGAGCCTAATCTAAGACAAGAACAGAGCACCCGGAACATTCACAAGCTTCACATCCTAACAGATGGAAGGTGACTGGGGTCAGGGAAGGACGATGTGCAAATCGTGGGTTCTATAGGGAAATTCTGGAATCAACTCAGAATTGGGCCAGACTGCCTCTCCTATCCTTTTTTTTTTTAAGACTTTATTTATTTATTTGACACAGAGAGAGACACAGCGAGAGAGGGAACACAAGCAGGGGGAGTGGGAGAGGGAGAAGCAGGCTCCCCGCAGAGCAGGGAGCCCGGTGTGGGGCTCGATCCCACGACCCTGGACCATGACCTGAGCCAAAGGCAGACGCTTAACGACTGAGCTACCCAGGCGCCCCTCTCATAGCCCTTCTGATGCTAGATTTCTGTTCGGAGGCCACAGCAGAGAGAATAGTCAATGGCTGGGCTGAGAGACACCTCATTCGTGTCCCTCTCCCAGCAGCACTGAAAAGGGGGCAAGGGAGTAGTTGCACCCACTTACCGTAGAGCTTCTCCCTCATCTTGCCTTGGGAGGTCTGCAGCTTAATCTCCCCCCGGAAGTGGCCCGTCATTTCTCCATGGTGGGTGAGAGGTGTGTAGATGGGGAGCTGAGTTTCCGTGGCTTCTAACCGTAGAGCAATGCAGCCCTCGCCTGGGGACGGTGGGGACAAGAGTCATGTCAAGAGCCTGCCATTTCACAGGAGAAACTGCATTCAGCCTGCAGATCTAGCTCCACCGCCCAAAGATGATCCTTCGAAACAATGTCCAAGGCAGGGATTATCGAATAAACCTTTTGGAACAACTTGGGGAAAACATTTCAAACCTTACAGTGAAATGAACTTCATGTGGATTAGTTGATACAAAAAAAAAATTTAAATCATAGAAAATCCAGCAGAAAAGCTAGACTTAAATACTAATCTGATTGCGAGAGGGAATGATAACTTCCCAGGGTCTGGAGCAATGTAAGAAATGACAAAACAGACTGACAGATAAGAGGATATAAAAGCTTAAAACTTCTGCACAGAGGATAAAAGGAAAATGGGAGAGACTGATGGCGTCACAAAGACGGTATTTTACCTGAACCCCATGAGGAACGCCTCAAAATCAAATCCCAGCAGATGACTGGGCAGGTAACCCAAGCAGATATTTCACACAAAAAGAACTGTAGCTGGTTGATTTCAATACATGGAAACTAGTTCAGTCTTCCTAGCCATCAAAAATGCAAATTAAGGCAGCACTAAGGGACTCTCTCACAGATGGGAAATTAGCACAAAATGGAAGGAAGGAAAAGGATACCCGGTGCCAGCAAGGATCTGGGGACACCTGCTCGCTTGGACGTGGCAAGGTCACCATGGCAGGACACAGCCTTTATGGCAATCAGTTGGATACCGAGTGTCAAGAATCACCGACCTATTTATACCCTTTGACCCAGCACACATGGGAACTTATCAAGAGATGACCCAAAAGAATAAAAGATGTAGCTAAAGGAAGATAATGTTCACGAAGAGATCCATCTCAGCATTATTGATAACATGAACAGAAACAACTAGAAGGAAACCCATGGGATATTAGGGAGCCATTAAATGCAGTAATCATGGAGGCTGTGTGGAAGGAAGATCCTGGAAAATGTGTCTCACCTAACCTGTCTCTCACTGGGTGAGGGAAGCAGCATAGAAAATGGTATCCCTGGGTGCCTGGGTGGCTCAGATGGTTGAGCGTCTGCCTTCGGCTCAGGTCATGATCCCAGGGTCCTGGGATCGAGTCCCGCATCGGGCTCTCTGCTCCTTGGGAGCCTGCTTCTCCCTCTGCCTCTCTCTCTCTCTCTGTCTCTCATGAATAAATAAATAAAAATCTTTAAAAAAAAAAAAAAAAGAAAGAAAATGGTATCCCTAAGATGGTTATAAATACAGAAATCTATGTATGCCTTGTATGAGGAAGTATGAGACCGAAATAAAAATGGTGGCTGTAAGTAGGGGATGAGACTGTGGGTTGACTTTTTTTCCTGTTACTATTGTGAAATGCTGTTTGTATGAATACCAGGATGAAGAAACAGAAGAAGAAGGCAGTATTTGAACAAGAACACAGAACCATCCTTCCTGTGTGTCTGTGGCCTACCACCGAAGCTCCAAACACTGTGACTCCACACGGATCCCTCTGTTTTGCCCAGCACAACGGACAGGACCTCCCCATCCAAGGTCAGCGCCATCCTTAGCCTCTGGCCACCCCTGCCCGGGCTCAGAGACCCTCTTTCTGGTGCTGACTAGGAGAGGGTGGAGGGCAGGATTCTGGAGCTGGGTTGCCTGGGTTCCAGTCCAAGGCCACCTCAGTGGCCATGTGACCTCGGACAAGTCACTTCATTTCCTCGCCTGTGCAATGAGTGTAGCAATTATACGTGTATCCCGGGGCTTTTGGCAGAGCCTGAACAGTGGGCAGTCGACACACACGGACACTTTTTGTGTCTACAGCCTGTCCTGGCTTCCCTGGATCAGCATTAAGCACCTTCAGATTCCTTCCACTGAAAACAAACACCCTCCCCGGACCCAGATCACATTCTTGCCTGTCTCGTGAAAGGAGCTGCTTGATCTGGCTCCTGCCTCCAACTCTCTCTGGCCACCTGCCCCTCTCACCCTTGCGTTCTAGCCACACTGAATGTATCACGGTCCAGGGTGAACCTGACATTGGGCTGGAGCCACGGACTGGCTGAAGACAATGTCACAGAAGATGATGTCTCCCTAGTAGGATGGCTGGTGTCTGCCCAGTAGGGGCCCTGAGCAATGCCAGACAGACCTGGGTTCAAATTAGGGCTCAGTCAGTTACTCCCTGTGGCTTGGGCACAGTCCCTTAACCTCTCTGAGCCTCAGTTTACTCACCTACTGATTGGGAGAATAGTATCTGCTTTATAAGATCTTGTTAGGATTAAATAATTCCTGCAAAGCACCTGGCACAGAATCTGACAGAGGAAAGACCCAATAAACGAGAGGGGTTGTGGCTGCTGGCTCTTCCTCCCAGAAGCCCGACGGGGCAGGAAGGATGGTTTACCAGTTATGTGTCCCTCTGGCAGCCCTGGGAGCGGAAGAGGAGTGGCACGAGAGCAGGATGGTGGGCTTCCCTCGATGCAGACGCTGCCGCCTCCCTTACATCATAGGCCACCAGCTAAGAGCGGGTGAGGTGTCGGCAGCACGTGTCCTGGGACGCTTACCATAGGATTCGTCGCTGTCGGAGGATTTAATGCTAATCAGGATGTGCTGGTCTAGCAGGTACTCGGGGTCAGAGATGATGGGCTTCAGCTGCACAGAGAAGGGCACAGGGTTAGAGCTGCCCACCGGGGGACAGCTGGGGGGAGAGTGCCAGCCCAGATGAGGGGCGTGCCTGAGCAAACAGGACTACAGGTGTTCTTATTAGTCAAATTTGAATTTCTGCTTTTCATGTTCAAGATAGTAGGAAGGAACCACACGTCCACCCTCTCCAGCATGCGGGGTTCACTTCTGTCCCTGTCTCCCCCCAGTCATACCGCACCCCAGGAGAGAGCTGGACCCCAAGTGTGCCCCACATCCCCTGCTTCCCTTCCCTTCTTTCCCCTCCCTTGCATACCCCAGCATCATGCGGGTGGGGGCCAGGCTGACACAAAAGTGGTAATGGGACCAAGAACCGGGTCCAAATGCACCCCACTCCCCACCGCAGGCTTCCCCCCAGCAGGTGGCACACAAGGCCTGCCCTCCATCTGGACAGGGTCTCCCTGCAGGGGAGCCCCCTGGAGTGTCCTGCGGGTTGTCGGAGGGTAGCTCAGCAAATGACAGGCACAGATCCTGAGTTCCAGCCCTGTCCCCCTCTTCCTGCTGCAGCGAGGGATTGCTGGCTCCCAGCTGCCCTGCTGGTCCGGCTCAGGGCACGTCTGTGTCCGGCTCTGCACGTGGGGAGAACCCGAACCTCAGCAGTGTAGGCCGCATCCGTGCAAGCACAGGGAGGAGCTTTCTGTGTGCACTACCTAAGGCTCTTTCTCACGCTGACACCAACACGGAGGGGCCTGATAAAGAGGCCATACACCGCTCCAGGCTGCCCCCCTCCTTCCCATCCAATGCCAAGAGACCCCTTGTGCAAGCCTCTGGGCGCCATGTTGCCCAACAGGATGGACTCTATCTCCATTCAGAAAGTTCCAGAACAAATGACCGGAAATCACAGCAGGTGCTCAAGGGCACTCTCGGGTTCCAGAGCCACAGCAGATGCTCAGTTCAGACTTGTAGTGATGATGGACTCAAAGTTAGACCCGGGCTGGGTGCCGCAGATGCAGGAAGACCCCACCCTCTCGGGCAGCAGCGAGAGCGGGGTGGTGGATATCTGACCAGAGAACGTCTGTGAGGGACACAATCACCATGGGGGCGCTGAGGGTAGAGGGAAGGGAGCCTCTGTCAGGGTGCTTTGCGGGGATTAAAGAGGGTACAGAGAGGGTGCTGTCAGGTGACAGAGGTGCGTGGAGGATCAGGGAGCAGGAGGGAGTAAAGACCTCTCAGGTGCTGTGGGGGCAGCCCGTGAAGCAGGAGTGAGGGGGCGCCTGGGAGCTGAGGAGCTTGGGCTTATTTCATGTTAACAGCAGGGAGTCGACCAGATAAAGAGGGGGATGCCAGGATCAAACAGGCATTCTAGAAAGATCTGTCAGGCTTCAGGATGCCTCAGCAAGAAGGCAGGCGGGATGGAGACCCCTGGGAGGTAGCAGTGGGGTGAACAGGAGGGACAGAGGCAGGAGGAGAAGCAGGTGTAGGCAGCGGTGAGGCTGTGGGTCGGGGGTACCCTAGAGTCTCCTGAACCAGCCTGGGGTACATGCACGATGTGGACTGGGAGGCTGGCATCTTTCCCAAGTTGACCCAAGGAGGAAACAAGCCGTTTGGTTGCTGTGTGGGGCCACCGGGAGGGGAGGAACCGAAGGGTAGGGTGGGTGGGTGAGGCGAGATGTCACACTGGAGCCCAAAGCCACCAGGATGCAGGTACCTGAAAAGAGCCCCAGGACGGGGACTTCTGACCTACGCCCTGGCCTTGTGGAGGACCCAGTCAGAAGTGTTCCCCCATTAGGAGACTCTGTGATGTGTGATGTGGGTATCTGCCTTCTCGTGTGTGGCCCAAGCATGGGTTCCAATCAACAGTGCCAGTGTGGGTAGCCCAGCCCCCCAAAACTGCCCATGTACCACCCCAGCCTTAGCAGAGGATGGGTCCTTCTACCTGTTTAAGGCCATTTTTAAAGCTCCGCTTGGGGGTCCCCTCCGAGGGAACCTTCCAGGAGAGCCCCTGGGACTCCTGCATGTGTGACAGATCTGCCTGGCCCTGGACTCTCGTCTGCGTACCATTCCCTCATTATGTGATAAAAGAAACAAAGCCCTACCCCACTGCGCACCCAGCATGAGCACTCGGGGAGGCCCACCATCAATTCAACATCGTAAAAGCTGTTCTGGGTCCTGGGGAAAGCCATTTTCTTTTCTGCAAGAAGGACGAATGTGTTCCCACGAAGGTCTGCCTATGTGTTTTCAATTCCCCCCTCTGCTCTCATGGGGTCATGGACACATCAAGTTCTTTCTGAGTCCAGTGTCTGGGTAGGAGCCAATGGACTCCCCCCTCTGTCCCTTCACCTGCTCCTCCAAGCTGGGGCTGAGCAGGTGACAGGGCACTGCGGGGGGCATCAGGGCCCGGGGCCTCTAGCCCGTGTCTGTCACTGCAGCCGTGTGATGGTGAACCAACCTCGCTGGGATCTGCCTCAGTTTCCCTCTTTGCAAAGTCAAGTGGTCAACAAGCCTATCTCTAGATCTCTTCCGTGATCCATGACGGGAACTGAAATCCATCGAGGAATCCTGAGGCCCCTGGGGCCAAGTTCTCCCTGGCTAAGTCCTGTTCTTGATTTACCTTTGGAAGGGTCTCGCCAAACTTCACCACCAACTCCCCTTCACTTCCTTCTTCATTTTCTCCTTCCTGACTCTTGACAAAACCTGTCATAGGACAAGAAGGCCGGTTTTCAGAAAACAGATCGAGAGCCAGACGGAAAAGCCTCCTAGGGTCACCCCACCTGGACCAATGAAGATATTTTCCCTCTTCTATCTGTGGGGCCACAGCCGCGTTCAGGAGTCAGGCTTGTGGGGGATTCTGTTTTGGTGCAGGGGATGGTCATTTGCCAGTATGGTTGAATTATTTTTAGGAAAATCAAAGAGATTCCCCTCCTTTCCAGCTCTTTTTTTTGCAACAAACCAGGCAACAAAGAAATCATCACATCACAGGCAAGGAGATTAGGAAACATGACAGCTCATCCCACGCCACTCAAGATAGCAGCCTTTTGAAATGCTAATTTGAGCTTCCTAATATGCTGTTTCCATAGAAATGTATGCAAATGTCTCGATAGTTTATTAAAAACACCCGCATGAAGATCCTCCTCATTTTTGGAAGTGCCTTGCCCCTGCTTGGTGACCCGGGCCCTAGAAACTTCAAGGAAAAGGTGGGTCTGTCACCAAGACTGAGCCCGGGCTGCGTGGGAGAAGGAGGGGGAAGGGCAATACATCTTCTGGATTTCTGGAAGCAGCCGTCATCCCATCACAAAATGCCTCCTTGGGTGGAGTTGATTCTGCCCTGCACCCCCACCTCCAGACCATCTCAGCGAAGGGAGCTGGAAACCACACAGATCTCGCCATGGAACAGCTTTAGACAATATGCGTAGAAATGTCACCCAGAAAGGGTGTTTGCTAAACAGTTTGTGCTAACTGCTGCTGGCTGGGAGGAGGCTGTCCATCTTGAGCTCGTTTGGGGATGCCCCAGACCACCTGAGAAAGATGCCCCGTCCCATAGGAAAGAGCAGAGGACCCTGGGGAAGAACAGGGCCCCCACTGGCCTCCTCGGGCTCTGGACCTTCGCCCAGGACCCTCTGGTTGAGTCAGAGCCCCAGCTTGTGGCGGGAGGGGACCCCTGAGTGGATTACACTCTGCCCTGAGGGGCAAGGAGAGGGTCCAGTGGCCCAGGATCCAGTCACCTAGACTCAGGGGTAACTGAACCCCTGAGGGCTCCCCGCCTCACAGGCGCCCTTGAGGCCCATCCGTGAATCCTTCCCAGAGAGAGAGAGAGGTGGGGCAAAGCGCCGTTGATGAAAAGGCTGCCTGGCCTAAGGTAGCTCAAGGCCCACTTACTCTCTAAGCAGCTCGAGTGGAACTCCAGGTAGAATTTGGTCTGGGACTTGGTCTTCAGCGTGGCGAAGCACCGGAGAAACTCAATCTGCCCTTGGCTGTCGACAGTCCCGGGGCCTGGAGCAGGTGAGAAAGAGACTTGACTCCACGATGTGCCCAGACATGGAGCATTTTGAATCAGCCCCCAACACCAGGCTCCGGGGAAGGTGAGGTCCGGGAGAAGAAGAGGTTTTCCCCGAATCCTGCCACCTGCACTAAGCATCCCCGACGATGGGAACGTCCTCACAGGCCACAGAGAGCAGGGTGGGAAGAGCGAAGAGTTCAGGGAGCCAAGAGCCCGACTCTCAGCTTTGCCATTGAATAAGCACAGCCCTGGCAACGCCTTTAACCTCCGTGCCTCAGTGTCCCCATTTGTTCTGGCCAAGAGAGCTTGTATAAAGGCTCAGTGGCTCAATACCCAAATCTGTCTCGTTTCTAAGTTCAAGTAGCAAGGGAGACTGGCTCTTCCTTCCTTAGGCTGACTTCCCTCCGCTCCTTATTCACCCTCGTTCCCACCCTGGGGGCTGGCCCGTCGTGGTATTCACCGGCATGACAAGTTTGCAAGCGTCCTCAGGCTCGCCGTGAGCAAGTTCCGGCCTTCCATGTGAATTCTGAGCCATGCGAGAGCAAGGACAGACATTCCCGGCCTCCCTCCCACCCTGCCTTTCCTTCTTTCCCTTCTTTTCTCCGGCTTTCCTGAGAAATAACTGGCAAATGTAATCGTACATATTTAAAGTTTACAACGTGATGATTTGATACACACGTACACCTTGAAATGCTTACCAAGATCAAGATAATTAACACATCCATCACCCACATAATTAACTGGTTCGGTTTTTTTGGTTTTTTTGGTGTGGTGACAACACTTAAGATCTGCTCCCAGCAAATACTGTATTATTACCCATGGTCATCAAGCAGACGGTTAGATCCCCAGAACTGATTCATCTTATAACTGAAAGTTTGTACCCTTTGACCTCCATCTCCCCATTTCTGGCTCCCCTCAGCCCCTGGCAGCCGCCATTCTCTTCTGTTTCTATGAAATTGGCAGTTTTTTCCAAGATCCCACATATAGGTGATACCATACACCTATGATATTTTTTCTGTCTGGCTTATTTCACTCAGCTTTCCTTCATTTCCTTAAACCCCACAGCACATAGGCCAGGTTCCCCTTAGGACGACATTCAACCAACACTCAATCCAGGTAATTGGTATTTATGAGCATCGTCTGGGCAGAGTCCCAGTGGAGGGAGGGCAAGCCTGACACTGAGGATGTGCTGAGGGTCCTCACGGAGGGTGTGATGGCATGAGTCATCCCATCGATGCTGCAGGAACTCCGAGAAAGGGGAGATCGGTGGGAGCCCAGGGAGAGACGGAAGGTTCTAGAAAGACAGTGCCCAGAGCTAGGATAGAGAGAGGGTGCTGGATTGAGGGTTATGTGGAGAGGGGAGGTCACATTACTAGAGCAGACGATAGACCCAACAGTGTGGAGAAGAATGTCCCAGAAGACAGTATTCCAGCCTCCCCTGCAAACCTCAGGGCACGAAGGACACAGCAATATGGGCTTTTCCTGCCTCAGTTGGGCCCCCCGCTCAACCTTCCTAAAGTAGCCTGAACTGTCTGCTGAGCACAGAAGTGGGGGGTGAACAGAGGAGGTGACAATATGGATCCCCAGTCACCCAGACCCAGGCTGGGCACGCCACAGAGAACACCAGGCCCTTGCTGGGACGAGGATGGCCTGGTGAGCAGGGCTGAGCTAGATTATTTGAAAACATACCTGCAAATCTAAGTAGTATTTACATCAGCATTTCCCCAACTTAGTCAGCCGTCCCATCCTTACAATGTTTACCATCTCCACCTACCACGCACCCGCCCTAATACTCACTTAATATTTTTGTTAAATAGACTCACTTTCTAAACTTAACTAAACGTATTTAAATAAGAAAGCACATCACAAGACTAAGTGGAAAACCAGCATTGCTTGCCTTACACAGAAGAGACAAATGCGAAACATATTAAAAGTAAATGCATTACTGATCAAGGTTCACCCACGTGCCCCCCAGAACTGTGGCACATACAAACCTCACCTTGGACAAACACTCATTTACTCGACTTTAAAGACCGAATTAAAACCGAGGCTTAAAAAGCTGACATATTTGCCAAAGAGAGCAAGAACGCGCTCTGCGCGGAAACCGTGATGTGGTTTAGAGGCGAGGAGGCCCCCTGGACGGAGTGTGGACGAGCCTGGAAGGTGAGCCTCCATGTACCGCAGACAACGGATTGCTGCAACCAGAAGGCGAGCGCCCAAGGCCTCCTGTCTTCATGGAGGACAGAGGGACAGATGCCGCCCACCACTTACCGTTCTTGGAGACGAACTGGGAGGTGACTCCTGCCTCAAATGTGGCGAAAACCGGGCTGTGGTCACTGGTCATGATGTCACTGGTGCTCCCTGCGGGGGAGGGAAGGAGAAACCCTTCTGGTCAAGCCAAGGATGGCAAACCCATGGCAGAAATCAACCTCTATTGATGGAAGCCTCCAGAAGTTTCATGGTTTTGCACCTGCCGTTCCGCTGACCTTCCACAACCACGCTTGAAAGACTCAGTGGAAGTGTGTGACCACCCTCTCCTCCACGGTGAAAATATGCCTGTGCTAGGTTTTCTTAGAGACACACGAGGTTTTAAAAAGATCATGGGGTGTGAACTGTGGACACTTTTCTGGTCTCAGCACTTCGTTGCACTGATGAGCTCACGGCCCAAAGTGGGGTGGGGACTTAGGTCACTGAGCTCCTCAGTGACAGAGATGGCACCTCCCCCCATCCCACATGCCTCAGGATTGGGAGACAGTAGAAGGTGATGAAGTGTAGACACTGAGTGTAGACACCTCTTTTAAGGAACATGGGGCTTAGAGGGAAGGCGGCAGGGCATGTATGGAGGGCGGAAGGGAAAGCACAGAGTTCTAGAGATACTGAGTTCTAAGTGGCTGGCTGGGTACTCAGGGCTGGAGATTTCTCTTGAGGTTTGGAGTCACGATGTTAGGTGGAAGCAGAAGCCATAGGATGTCTGGGCTCCCCAGGGGAGGCACACGGGATGCAAATCCAGGCCACACTGGCCAATACGGGGCAAAGAGAAACAGCAGAGGAGACCAAGAAGGCAGTAAGACAATTGACATAATTTTCTATAAAGCTTTTACAGATCAGCAAGAGAAAGGTAAACATCCAGCTTCAACCCACCAAAGGATATAGGTAGAAAATTCCAAAAGAAATACAGATGGCTAAGAAACATGGAAAAAAAATGCTCACTTGTTCACGACCATCAGAGAGACAATTGAAACATGGAGACAGAATGAAGGAGAACAAGAAGGGGCAAAGCGGGGGGCCTGGGGGAGGAGGAGGGGCTAGAGTAGAGGGCCCAGGTGAAAAGGTTAGCCGGGAGAGGAGGAGGAGGACACCCCTTCTCTGAGACAGGAGGGCAAAAGGTAGGAGGGGCACCAGCCTAAGTCATGTCGGGATGTGGGCAGGAAGAAGTCAGGGAGGGTCCAGTGCTGTGTGAAACAGGAGAGGACTGGGGTGGAGGGAGTCAGGCTGAGTGTGGGGGGGGGGGGCAATGGAAGAGGGGGTGTTCCAGCAAGAAGTTAACAGGTGGACAACCAGGGTTTGAAAAATGTTCTTAGCGATATTTTATGTATGTATCAAACATACAGCACTAGCACTACGGTGTCTGTGCCCTAAACACGAGGAAGGTGACAGGGACCTGGATGGTCCCTCTGTAAGCACACCCTGTACGTCGCCCTCCCACAGTTGAGTCTGGGCTTAGCTATGTGACTTCCTTTGGCCAGTAGGACATTTGCAAATGTGAAGCAAGCAGAGACTCAAAAAGCTTTTCCACATCTGGGACTTGCAGATGTGGGATCCCTGGAACCCGCAAGAATCCTGGACTAGTCTGCTGGGTGATGAATTACACAGTCAAGTTACCACCATTGCCCCTGCTGACAGTCGGCCAACCCCCCATCTGGGGGGGCTCCTGGTCTGAGTGTGCCCAGCCAACACCAAGCAGAACACAGATGAACAGATCCCAAGTTTGGCCCAGAGAATTGTAAGATGTCGAGTTTCAGAGTTATTTGTTATGCAGCAATAGGTAACTGATACATCCTATTTAGGCCAATCACTATAAGACTCAAGCTCTTAGTTTACCCTATTTCCTGAGCTCTGGACATTCATTCCCTTTTCTTTCCCAATTTCTTGCTCACCGCCAACTCATTAAACCCTTCCACTGCACCCCCAGCATTCAGTGAAATATCATTAGCAAAATTCCCTATATTTTCAACTTTCCCTTCACGTTCTATACCTGGTCTTTCCTGGAAGATACTGCAGCCTCTCGAGGGAGGGTTGATTTTCTGCTCCCTCCCTCCTAGGTGGGTCCAGAGTGGGGAGGTGTGTCCTCCCTGCTCCTCAATGCCACTTCCAGAGCAATCTCCCTCTGTTTTCCTAAAAACCTTCACTAGAGAGCTGTTGTGAATGCCAAGTTTAGGTTCAAAAGGCAGTAATGGAACAAGCCAACACTTGCTCCTGAATCTCTGCAGAGGCCTGCTGCAGAAGGCAGACGGTGGCATCTTCCTAGAGACGAGACTTGGCAGGACTCATGGAGTTGCAGGATGTGGGAAAGAAAGGCATCACTGAGAAATGGTGGTTAATGGTGGGTGGGATATGGGCCTTCGTAGGTTTTGAAGGCTGTGGCTAGGGGGGTGGGATGCCTCTCTGCACATCTAAAGGTGTGACGTTTGTCTTGGGAAGTCACTTCTGGGAGACAGAGCTCCGGTGCTAGGGGAGTGCAGGTGCGTGCCTTCCCAGGGCACTTGCTCTGGATCCTTCTAAGCAGCAGGAGGTATGCACAAGAAAAAGGAATGGACAGCAGTTCAACTTGATGGGACCTGAGTTAAATGTGGGGATTTGCCAGGCCCCAGAGAGAGGACGGGAGCCCCAAAGGTGGCCACTGGGCAGCAACAAGGCCCCTCTTGGAGTGGGTGGGGGAGGGCTGAGGTCCCGGGCCTGTGACTTGGTCACATGAGGGACATGATGGGAATGTGGGTGGCTCTCCTTCGGATGTCATTGTCTGGGAATCGCAATGTTTTAAAAATAATACCACGATTCTCGGTCAGGAATGTTCAAGGTAATTCTGCTCTGAATTTTTAAGTACACAGTGCAGAAAATTCCAAATAATGGGATTTAAGAAGTAGCTTTTAAGCATAAGCACTTGGGCAATTAAGAATTCCTTCTGACAACTTTTCCATAATTATTTATTTTAATATTGCATATTACGGCTTTTTCTTCAATTTAACTCAATTTATCTTTATTTTTTTATTTAAAAAAAGATTTTTATTTATTTATTTGAGAGAGAGAGAGAGGAGCAGAGGTAGAGGGGTAAGGAGACTCCGTGCTGAGCGCAAAGCCCAACACAGGGCTCAATCTCACAACCCCAAGTTCACAACCCGAGCCGAAATCAAGAGTCGGATGCTTAACCAACTGAGCCACCCAGGTGCCCCCTCAATTTATCTTTAAATCTCCATAAATATATGTGCATATATTCACGGTATATATTAGGTTTACCCATATGCATATTTGACTGTATTTGACCTATGAAAACACCTCTTTCATGTGGTTCAAACCTAATATGAAAACACCACTTTCATGTGGTTCAAACCTAATATGCTCTTTTCAAAAGAAATAAGTCTGGATTTCTTTTTAAAAGGGCCCCATAATTCCAATGTTTCCCCATCCAGAAGACACTTCTCATGCTGCAGCCTCAAGACAGGAGAGGATGATGCATCAACGCCTCCCGGTCACCTGACCGGGGTTGCTGGGACTTTTCCCATTTTACAGATAGACAGACTGGAGCCCGTTAGTTCCGGGCACCGGAATCCCCCAGACTGCTACTCACCATATGACTGACACACCACATGCACCAGCGGGTAAGACTTCCAGAGGACTCGGTCACACCAGGAAGGCAGGTTGTACTTCATCTGTAAATCAAAGTCACGAGCTTTGTAAATGCATGCTAATTTTTTATATATAGAAATCAGTATAAGAGGTTGACTTGTGAACCCTGTAATCCTTGAATTCATGTGCTGTTGGGTCTTTATAGATTTGCCCCATAGGTGGCCTTCAACCCTTTTCATTTGCCTTAAGCCCTGAGTCCACTGCTGAGTGCACACCTTGCGTTCCTGCTTTGGAAGATCGACTCACCTAGCTATGGGACTGTACCTAGCATCCTCACTATTTCTGAATTCTTGTTCTTCCATCCTCTTACTTTTTTTCTGACTCAGGTGAACCCCACAACTTGTACTTTCAACCCAATCTTTGCTTATCTTCTCCAGCTACTTACTTTAGTAACAACACTCCACCCACCCACTCCCATTCACACAGCCACCCACCTATCTACTGATCCAGCCAACCAACCATCTATTTATTCACTCACCTACCTGCACATCCATCCATCCACCCATCCATCCACCCACCCATCCATCCATCCATCCATCCATCCACCCATCCACCTACCCACCCACCTGCCCGCCCATCCATCCATCCATCTATTCATCCATCCATTCACCCACCCATCTGCATATCCATCTACCCATCCAACCACTCAATATGTATTAAGACAAGCCCTCTCCAGGCTACACTGGTGAGCAAGATGCCCACTGGGAGTGATAGACAAGGCAAACTGGCAATATCCTTTATCCCTTTAAGTTCTAGCTCTTTCTCTTCTGCCTATAAATGTAAAGGTACTCACCCTAAAAGAGCCTACCCCTGCCATCTCCTGCAGTTACTTTTCTCTTTTTACCAATTTTCTTTCCAGAATGTTCTATTTTCATTGCCTCTACTTTTGGACCACCCATTTCGTTTTTTAAACTTGAGGTGCAGCTTACGTATAGTAAAGTGTACTCATCTTAAGTAGACAGCTTGAGGAGTTATTATATTTGTACACACTCATTTAACCCAGACGGAGTTAGAGAAAATCTCCTTCATCTCAAAAGGCTCCCTTATGTTCCTCTGTGTCCATACCTCCAACTTGTAGAGGTGAACATGATCCTGCCTAATGCCTCTACGTATGCATTTCGCCTAACCTTGAACTTATAAATGGACTCGCTCAGTATACATAGTTTGAGGTCTGGCTTCTTTCATGTCGTTCCCTGTAGTTCATTCACTGTCTGACTGTGGTTGTAGTCCATTGTACACACATACCTCACTTATCTAGCCTACTGTTGACGGAAGCAGGGCTCCTCCCCGTTTTTGGACATTGTGCACAAAGCTGCAGTAAAAGTTCTCGTCTCTCCCTTTTGGTGAACACATGTACTAATGTCTCTGGGGCTACCCCAAAGTGGAATTCCTGGGTCACAGGGTAGGTGCACGATGCTGCCAACCTGTTACTCGTAATGCTGCAGTTCTCAGCACTGGCTGCCCCAAGAATTACCAGTGAGCTTTACAAAGATACAGAAGGCACGGCCCCAGGTCTCTTGCGTTAGAGGCTCTGGGGATGAGGCCCGGACATCCGTATTTCTAGAAAGCTTTACCCGACTCATCTGCACACACCTGGTAAAGAGCCACTCCCGTCCTCCCCCAGGCTGGATTTCACCCCCAGGACTCCGTGACCTGCTCTTTCAAAGTCCACTGACTTTGGACCACAAATCCAGCTCCTCGTGCAGGGTTCACACGCAGTGAACATGTTTTCCTAGACTCACATTCCACGCTGGCCACCGCTAATCCCGACGGGTCTCTCACCCCCGGCTTCTGTGATGCCGAAATGCCTGGTTGGTCCCCTCACCACCTACACGAGCACTCGCGGCCCGTCTCCTTTGTTGTGTCTGCTTCTTCCTCTCGCCTCTGAACGTGGATGCCCCCAAATCTGCCCACAGCCCTTCTCTTCGCCTCTTCCACTCACTCCCTGCCAATGTCACCTACCCCGTGGGGGTGTCCATGTTCTTGGCACGCACAACTCATAAATCTATGACCCAGCCCTGGTGTCACCTAATATTTTCAATTGCCTTCTGGATGTTTCCTCTGAGGTCTTCTGCCAATATTATACAGTAAGTCTGAAGACAAGCTCTAGACTCTCCTCCAAGCCAGCTCTGCCTTCCGATTAGCATTTTTATCCATGGCAATCAGATCTACCAGCACGTCCTGCTCTCCTTTGCTTCTGCCTTCGTTGTTTGTTCCCAGTTCTGACTCAGGCCGCAGTTTCTCAGTGGGACACAGCACACGGCCTCTTCAGGGATCCCCTGCACCCTCCCCATCCTCTGCAGATGCAGACCGGCCTTCTCTGTGCATCACTGCTGTGCTGTCAACCCCCAGCAGAACTTTCAGTGGCTTCCTATTGCCCACCGACAAGTTAAAACCTTACCCTGGCATCTAGGACCTCCCTCCCCTCAGCTCAGCCCCTATTTCTCCTGATACTAGAGTCAACCTGGACATGCCCTCACTGTCCCCACATGCCCCTGTGGACCTGCCCAGAGGACCGCAGCTAACAGCAGCCCGTGGACGCCTCCCCAGCAGGTGTCTTGCCCTGGGGGAGGGGGGTGTCTCAGCCTCTTTCCTCCACAGCAGACCTGGATCTTCTCTCCTCCTCTGTCTGGTTTTCTCTATTAGCTCCTGCCTTGTTCTGGGATCACCCCCATGCTTGGCCTTACCATCCCTCCTGCACTTCTCCGCTTGCCCTGAGCCCTCAGGCAATGTTCTGAACCGTTCTCCATTTCCTTAGGCCTCCAGCAGCCCCAGAAGCTCGCCATTCCATACCTCTAAGCCTCGGGCCTGGCTTTCCTGGGTTGAGCCCCAGAAGGTGACAGAGGCCAGAATTTCCTACCTCCATATCTATTCTAGCAATTCTTCCAACTGGAAATGGATCAGCCCCCCTCAGCCCTTGTCCTGTCCTCTTGTTGATAGCCAAGCTGTTCCTCACAGCACCACGAGTGGGACCTCTTTGACAACCCTCTCCTGATCCTTCCTTCCCGTAATGGTCATGTCCCTCTCTGATGGCTCCTCAGTGTATTTGGCAACCTCCTATTCCATCTCTGGTTAGTTAGCTGTGTGTTTGCCTCATCTTTCCTTCTATAAACTCCTTGGGGGCAAACACTGGGCTCATCTTTGATCTCCTACCACCTAGGAGAATATCTAGCCCATCACAGGTCATCAGTAAGTATCTGCTGAATAAGAATGAATGTAAGCTTTATTGCAGCTTCCCCCAAACACTGTTCCTTGGAACCCAAGGGACCTCATAAGGTAATCACTGGTATTCCATGAGTAACTGAGTTTGGCCAGAAATTTCCTTGTGGAGAACCATAATGCTCATAAACCTCTAAAGGCTCTGATAAGTCCTGCAGTAAGGAAGCTTGCTTAATGATGATTCATTTGGTAGATTAGCAAATAGATGTCATCACAGGACTTAAAAAAAAAAAAAAAAGCTTCAGAACCACTCTTAGACTCTCTGGACAGAAGGTAAATCCTGTGTCAGAGTCTAGTTAATTGTCGTGGGCAAGCATGGCTGCCCAGCCTCTCCTTAGAAGAGGTTTTTTTGCTCAATGGTGCAAATCAACACGTGATCTCTAATTTTCCTTCTTTTTTTTCCGTTGCCTAGTGGATGAAGATGCTCTTCACTCCCCATTTGCCTTTCTGAGATTGGACACAAGAGGGGTGAGATGTGCAGGGGGGTGGAGATGGGGGGCCAGGGTGATGGCTATGAAGAGAACTCACCCCTGTGGCTTTCTGCTTAGTGTAGGCATACTTGTCCCGAGTCAGTCTTTCAAAACGGTAGGTGGGCGCAAACGTGATTTCTTCCTCCTCTGAAAACCAAACAAAACCTTGGTTTTTGCTCTGATTCCCCCATGTTTCACATGGGCCATGTTCCCTTCTTCTGCAGCCATAGTCCTTCCCCTCCCCCAACCCCGAGGATATTCAGGGAAAAGAGGAGACAGCGATGGCTGGAGGGGACCCAGGAGCAGAGGGTCACAGTTCTTACCAAAATGCAGGAAGACCTTCTGCTCCTTCCTCTCCATGAGCAGCTGGTCGTGGGATAGGAGGTCTGCGTACTGCTGCTGCTTGATCTTCTGGACAATGGCTTCTGCCTCCTGGAGCAAGGACACGGCCAGGCCGCTGGTGAGACCCCCCGCCTTCGCCAACATCAGGAGGCCCATCACCACCCGCCTGCCCGCCGCCAGGGACCCGGAGCCCCCGAGGCTGCACCAGACCCTGGTGCCGGGGCTGCCCAGCTGGTGTGTCTTAGCGCTCAACTGTTTTACAAGGAAAACCCTGCAAAGGTCGTCAAACATCAACCTATGATGATACAAATTTTGGCTGTTCCAGATTTGCAGAGGGACCTTTTACTTTCTCACTCTGACTTTTAGTATTATTTTTATCAACACGTCATTAGCAGGTAGGTATGTTTCTCTTGTTCTCTGTAGGAACTGAGGCAGCTTGTTGTGAGGCCGTGGAAGGATCTGAAATCCCAGCCCTGTGAATCCGTGGGCATCAGCAGCATGCCCCGACAGCCTGGAACCCAGCGGTCCTCCCTCCCGAGACTGCTCCCTCTGCTCTGGCAAACGCCCTTGGCCGACCTCCTGGTGAGGGAACGGCCGGGACAGCCCCTCCTCCGACTGTGAAGGGTTGGGATTTGTGGGGTCCGTGTCCAGCCCTCTCCCATCGGCTGCGGGGAGCCTCTAATGAGGGAGGGAGTGGTGGGGAGGCGGGAGGGGCACAAACGGGCCCTAAGCTCTTCCTCGGTCTCCGCAGCGCGGCTGGGGCAGCAAAAGCGAGGGGCGGGCTGCTCGGGAAAACAGGTGGGAAGGAGAGGAGGTCTGGGTTCCAGCCCGACTGTCCGGGGTCTGCAACCGACCCCAGGCCATTCCTTAGCCTGACTGTGCCCCAGGGTTCTCGCCCCTCAGTTTCTGCCGTCCTCCCTTCCCCCCACATGGGACGCAAAGTGAAGGTTCCACACCCCGGTTAGGGACGTACAAGCTGTAACCAAGATGTCTGCACAGACCGCACGGCTCTGCTCCCAGGACTGTCCACCCCCTTCCTGGGAACCCTCTGCTCTCCCTCAGTGAGCAGGGCCGTGTCTGCCAAGTGGCCCTTCGGACTGCTCCCTGGTGGACCAAGCCTGGGCATCCGACGCAAGCAACGTCTTCCTTAGCTGCCCAGTGACCCGCCATCTGGACAGAAAATTGGGCTGGTCTCCTCGGGTCTGTGGGGACCCAGGGTGAGCAGAGGGACTGTAAAGGCGAGGGGTTCCACAACAGAACGGCATCGAGTCCCCAAGGGGGAGTAGCGGCTCCTCCGTGGCCCCGTGCAGCCCCCGCCCCGGGTGGGCAGCCCCTTACCCAGGTGGGCAGCTCCACGCGGTAGTTCAGATCCCCGAGCCAGAAGAGGTGGGTGAAGCGGTGAGTGATGTTGAAAGGGCTTAGCTTCTTGTCCCCCAGAGCCAGAAACCGGAGAATGCTCATGTAGTTCTGGTTTCGCCTATTTAAATGAAAAAGTAGCCGTCTTGCATGGGGTCACTGGTTCCCTACTTCACCACCATAGCGGGAAGGCGGAGGGAGCCTGGGGGGATGGAGACGTAATTCTGGGGCCCCAGCTGCAGCAGACCCCCTCCGTGTGCAGGTGAGACACAGGGTGCAAAGGGCCTTTCAGGTGGAAACGGGGGCACAGTGCAGGGGCCCCCAGAGCTTCCGTTCAGCAGGGACTGGAATCATGGTTATTCTAGATAGAGGTCTTCGTGACTGGGCCCAACGGGCTTTGATCTGTAAGGGTGCCCGGAGGAGGTCCTTCCCTTTAGAAATGGAGTGGTATTTAGGCAGCTAGGAGATCGATGACATATGGAAACGTGTGTCCTGTCCTCCCGACAAGATTCATCCACACGAGAGGTCGCTCTTGTGCCACAGGGACGGGGAAAGCCGGGGGCTGCACGGTAGTTGTGGTGTTTGGGGACGTGAGGCCTGTCTGGGCAGATAACCCCATAACATGCTCTCAGGCAATGAGCTCTATTACCTGAGTTTCTTTTCGCTTCCGGAAGTCAAGTGGCTGTTAACAAATCCCAAAGAGGTTCCGTTGAACATAAACGACACCCCCACAGCTCCCTTGTTCCCTAAAGGGAGGGGAGAAGCAAGAAGTCAGCACAACAGGCAACCTTGGCAAGTGGCGGGAAATCAAGGTGGAGCAATGTTACTCCTCAAGAGGAGAGCGAGAAAAGCAGAACAGCTTCATCTGGAGTGGGAGACTCAGGAGTGGCAGGGACTCGGCGGGGAGGGGGGGCATTCCTCCAGGACCAGAAGAAAACAGGGTGAATGGCCTGCGGCCTTGGGAGTCCTCAGCAGGCCTAAGTCATCCAGCTATCCCCCTCCCGGGGACTCATCGTTACCCCACAGGCCAAGCAGGCAAGACCACCGAAAGCAGCCAGGAGCCTGGGGAAGATTTAAAGACAAAGGAGCCCGGGGCTGGGTAGGCTGACATTCCCCCAGCTAATCAGGCTCCTGGTGGGACCAAAACCCTCATTGAGGCCACCTCTTATTCTGAGTTTCAACCTATTCTAGACTAGTGGTTCTCAAAGTGTGTTCCCCAAAGAACAGCAGCAGCACCTGGGAACTGTTGAAGTGCAAATTCTCAGGCCCCGCCCTGGCCCTGCCAAATCAGAAATTCTGGAGGCGGGGCCCAGGAATGTGGGCGAAACAAGCCCTGTAGGTCAGGGGTGGGCAAAACGCAGGCCCGATGTCAGGTCAGGTGAAGATAATTTTTACATTTTTAAATAGTTGGGGGAAAAAATCAAAAGAAGGTTTTGTGACACATTAAAATGGTATGAAATTCAAATAGGAGCCCATAAATAACATTTTATTGGAACACAGCTACGCCCACAGAGTTGAGTAGTTGCAAGAGAGGCTGCATGACCTGCAGAGCCTGAAATATTTCCTGGCTGGCCTTTTAGAGACAAAATTTGCCAACCCCTTTCCAGGGCATTCTGACGCATGCAGAAGTCTGAGAGCCTGCTCTAGTCAACGGCTTGAGCTGTACGTATCAGGCCCTTGAAATGTGGCTGGTCCCAACTGAGGAGGACTGTAAATACATAGATGCACCAGAATTATAAGCCTCAGCAAGAAAAACAGAATGTAAAATATTTAGTAATTTTTATATTGCATACCTACTGAAATGGTAATCTTTTGAATGAATGTTTGATTAAATGTTATGAAAATCGACTTCACCTGTTTCCTTTAACTTTCTTGAATGTGGCTCCTAGAAAATTCGTAGCCACCTATGTGGCTCTCCCTCTGTGTGGGCTGGACAGCACTGGGTGGAGCCTAAGTGGAAGGACCTCAAAGATCATCCACCTATCAACGATGGGTGGCCCTGCTCCCCCACCCCAGCGGGTGGGGGGGCCTCTCCTTCCAGCTTTCTCCCCATCCTGCAATGTGACCTGGTTTAAATTCCTGCCCACCACTTTCTTGCCACTGGACCTGGGACAGGCTAAGGAACATCACTGTCACCTCCAGCATCTTGTCTGTGAATGGGGTCAACAATGGTCCTTGCCCCCCACGGGGCGTTTCTAGTAAATGGGATAATACTCCTAGAGCATTTAGCTCTCGGCCGTGCACATGTATGTTCTCAAAAAGGCCTTAGTTCTTCTAGGGATGATGTCCACCAGCATTAGCCAACCAGCATTCACGGGCTCTGTTCCATGTTAACCACGGCTGGGAGTCATTTGAGGGGAGAAGAGGGGAAAGAGGCCAGCCCCAGGGTCGGGGGAAGGGAGGAGCAGGTGCATGGGATGTGAGCAGGCTGCTATGTGCACAGTCCCTTGTCCAGTGCCCAGCACCATGTTGGGGGGACACACGGGTGGCTCTGTCATGATGAATGAGAGCTGGGACAACAGCCGGAGGCGAGGCCTGGCTGAGGTGTGGTTTTAGCTCGTACCGGAGGTCTGACTACCTTACGTGTATTGGGAAGGGGCCGGTGGCAGGCGGGTGGGCAGCCCACGCAGGCTGCAGCAAGGATAGAGAGGTTCCTGGGCAGCAGAAGGGCGTGGGCTTTGACAGGGCAGCTCCGGAGACAGGAAGGAAGGGGTCAAGTGGGTGTGGACACGGGCAATGTGTGGTTTGTCAGCAGAAAAGCTGAGCGAGTTCTTCACACTCAATTGCAGCAATTCTTCTGTTTCCTGTTGTCTCGGGGACTCTGTCCTGTCCCCGACTCCAACCACCAGAAACCACTGGCCTCGCCCTCAACCCCGCCCACGGCCTGCGTGGGTGCACCTGCCCACACGCGCTCACACAGACTCACGTACTCGGATTTGCGTGTAGACTCACACACACTCACAGACTCACACATATAGACACACGAGCACTCACATCCACACCCACACACAGACTCACACTCACAGATGGCACTCCGGTCGTCCTCTGCTCTGAATTCAATTCCCAAAGGTGCCCTGACTGGTCCCCCTTGGCTCACCGCTAATACCAGCATTTCCGCATCCAACCGAGTCGTTCTCGATCTACACCAGGGGTTGGCAACAGAAAGCCTGCGGGCCAAATCCAGCCCCCACCTGTGTCTGCGAGCAAAGCTTTCTGGAACACAGACACTCGCGTTCCCGTTTGTGCAATCTGTAGTTCCTTTCGTGTCATGGCACCCGGCCCACAGAGCCTAAAATATTTACCATGTGGCCCTTTACAGAAAGTCTGTCAACTCCTGTCCTAGGTCCTTGGTTCTCTAGGTGGGGCTTGCGGGCCAGCAGCATGACCCCACCTGCTAGCTAGTTGGAAACTCAAGAACGTCAGGTTCCACCTGCTACCTGCCGAGTCAGAACCCGCATTTTAGCCAGATCCCCAGCAGCACTGGTGTAGACCCCGGGTGGAGGCTGGGGGAACCCACCAACCCGCTTACCCAGGGCTGAGGGGAGGCCTGGAAGTGAGACACAGGGATGTCCCAGTCAGCTCGGGTGGGACGACCACATGAGCGCAGCCCCCTCCCTGCTCACCCAGCGTGTTGGCGATGCCTGTCTTCACATTGTCAGTGCAGATGTGACTGATGCGGTTCTCATGCTCCGGCTTGGCCAGCACCACAATTCGGATGTTCCAGAGGGTGTGGATGGCAATCTGGCGGGGTGGACAACACGGTCACCCTTGGCCAGGGCACGGTGCTTGACCACAGGGCAAGAGATCTCCCCCCCAGCCCTGACCTCCAAGATGGGGGACTCTATCTGTAATCCCTAAACTTCGGGGGAGCGTCTAAGATGCCCTGCAGATGCAACAAAGTATATTAAAGATGAGAGCCAGGACTGGCAAGATTTCAATGAAGTAAGGATGATCTACAAGCAGGGGCAAGGACGAGGGAGGGCCCCAGTGATTTTCAGCAACACCAATCTCAGAATAGAGGTGCTCCTCTCTGGCCCTGGAAGGTAGAGGTGGTGGTGGGGAATGACCACTGAGCAAACGGGCATCTTTGGAAGTTGAGAGCTCACAGGCCGAGCCCACCCTTGCGTCTGAGATGCTCCTGGCCAGCCTCACAAAGCCCACTGCCCCGGAGTTCCACCCAGCGCCCTGGCCAGCTACTCACTGTTTTAAAAGTCATGCTGGTGATTTCTTGCAGGGAGTGTCTGAGTATCTCCAGCCACTCCTTCTCTCCCAGGGGGTCCTCCTGGGTGCCGATCACGTAGATGTCATGGGGGATGTAATCAGCAGAGTCATCCCGCGTCTTTCCCTGCCCCTTGGAGAGAAACCAGGACGTGATCTTCTTGGGAGGGGGGGCGTTACCTTCAACAGCAAAACCCAACACCAAGTGAGTCAAAGGTACATCAGGTGAGTTCAAAACACAGGTGGGGGCAAGTGTGTGGGGCAGGAGCTTCACCCAGCCACTGAAAACCACTCGGGCCACCCCACGAAATGCCACAGCTGGAGAATTAGGTACTATTACCCCCATGATGTCAGGTGGGGTCAGAGCACAGTTAAGTCTCTCTGTAAAGAGAACATGAAGTTTCAGAGACTGGAAATAACCGAAGATTCCGTAGGGTGACTTGAACTAGTTGCACGAGACGTCAAACACCGTCCTAGCCTTTGGGGCTGGACTGAGTAACTGAGACAGTCCTCGAGGAGTTTACATCCTGTTGGCAAGGACGGCCCAGCAGGCTGACAGGTTTGGGAGACAACAGGGACTTCCTTGCAAACCAGAGAGATCTCAGCCACAAACTGAGAGCCGAAGAGACAGGAGGAGCGTGGAGACCTCCTCCATTCTCATTTCGAAAAATGAGTCAAAGTAGCTTAATAAAGACATGATGAAGGATTTATTTCTCCTCGAAACACCCCTTCAAGGTTGCGTAAACTTTTCCCCCAGAGAGATAACCTTCTTGGCCAAGAATCCAAGTAACTTGACGGCGGCCATTCTGCTCCCCACTATGGTTCACAGTGGGAGCGTAAGCCCTAGGGGCTGGTGGTCTCTGCTTGGGGAGACCCCACCCAGCCACCCAGCCAGCTCCTTCTGCACTGCCTTCTGCGTGAACAGCGTCCCCTCCAGGAAGGACTTCACCACGTCCAGCCGAATCTAAGCCCCCCATGCTCACAGAGGGAAAAACAGGGGCAGCATGCCCCCGTGCATGAACCCCTGAGAGTGAGTTGATGAAATCAGGTGGCCAGTAAAAAACACAAGAGAGGACAGAAGAGGACATGGGACCCCAAGCATGGGCCAGAGTTCAACTTCAGTACTGCTGTGCCCCCTGCAATATCGGGGCCTGAATGCCTGTGGAGGGCTGGTGGCTTGTGGAATTGGGCTCAGGTGCTCTGGCCCACTCTCCATTCAGCCCATAGGCCAGGAGGAGCAAATTATGTTCTCATTTCCAGATCACCCCCTGCCCCTCCTCGAAGGGCTGCTGCTCACCCCCCACCCCGCCCGCAACTGCTGGTTGGCTATCTGTTGGGTCAGAGGGTGGGTGAGCCTGACTCTGCTCTGGACAATGTGGGGTTAGAAGGACACCCAGTTAAATTCAAGTTTCAGATAAACAACAGAGAACTGTTACAAAAGGTATGCCCCGTGCAGTATCCATTTAACTAAAATTCAAGTGAACTAGACATCCTGTATCTACTTATTTTTTTCCTAGCTAAATACTTCCATGAAATAATTATTTAGTATAATTTATATTTAGTGTGATATATCTAGTTTATAAGTATATATTAGTATATAAGTACACAGTACATAGTACAGTATATATTTGGTGTAGATTTAGGACTTATTTTTCGCTGAATAGTTACACTATTTGCTACAACTTATATTCAGTACAATGTATATTAGCATGTTATATAGATTAGTATATAAATACATGTAGTATATATTTAGCAGAATCATTTCTAGCTAGGTACCAATACTAAAAAAAACTTTGCCGTTTACATGAAATTCAAATGTAACTGGGCATCATCTCACTCTCTTTCTCTCTCAATAAATCTGGCAACCCCATCCAGGGAGGGAGTTCTTTCTTCCAGGCCTGAGGCCCCCTTGGAGAGCTGCCTAAGGCTGGCAGGTGCACAAAAGCCTCTTCACCTATCTATCCAGACTATATCTACAACTTTCCAGTTTAGACATGCAAAGTAACCCAGCCCAGCTGCTACTGGGGTATGAGAACCCCAGAGCTCATTTCTCTTATCCATTGTCTCAGCAAAAGTATAGAATTCCCTAGAAAGGAGGCTGTGCAGACAGGCTAGGGGGTGGGGGGTGGGAGGAAGAGAGATGTCCCCCCATCCATTTGCAGATGTCTGAGGCAGCAAAGCAGAACCCAAGAGGAGGTGGTGGGAGGGAGTGTGCGGGGGAACCTACCCATGTTCCAGGTGCCGATGAAGATGGTGATCATGTCTGGTTCCGGCTGCTCCGAGTGCTTGTTCTTCATCTGCTGAAGAAGCTGGCAGAAGCCCTCTCTCTTCTAGGGATTGAAGGGCAGACAGACTCAGAAAGGCCTCCTCCTCCCTGCACATTACACTTTCAAAGGGCTTGGTCAGCTTCAAGAAAACTGAGAGCAGCGCAAATCAGTACGAACTTGCAGGAGAGCATCTGGAAAGAGGGTCCGAAGTCTTAAGGAAGTGGCTTCTCTTTGACCCTGCCAATCCTCTGCAAGGATCTGACTCTAAGACACCAGGAACCTCACAAAGACCCAGCCACAGCACAGGGACTGCAGTATGCACGTCAATACAGAAAAAAACTAGAAACAACCTTAATGTCCAATCCTAGGAAGCAAGTTAATAACTGTAGTATGGGTCATCCACATGCCAGAATACTGTAGGGTTCACAAGTTCTGCTGCAGAAATACTTTCTCAACAAGGACAGATGTCCAAACTACGTTGTTACGTGCAAAAAGCCAGTTGACAAAACAGTATAAATAGCATTGTTGCATTTTTATTAAAAACACAAACAAGGAGGGACGCGTGGGTGGCTCAGCCGTTAAGCATCTGACTTCAGCTCAGGTCATGATCCCAGGGTCCTGGGATTGAGCCCCGCATCGGGCTCCCTGCTCAGCGGGAAGCCTGCTTCTCCCTCTCCCACTCCC